TGAAATTTTACCTCGAATTTTGAAAGAGTATATGGAACAGATTAGCAGAGCCCTCGTAAATATATATACAAAATCATGCCAGACATGTGGAAACAGGCAAATGTAGTACCCATATTCAAAAAGGGAGACAGAGCATCAGCGTCAAATTACCGGCCGATTAGTTTAACGTCAGTAGTAGGGAAATTTCTTGAATCACTTATAGCAAATAGCATCCGATCGCATTTAGAGAAAAACAAATTAATCTACGACTCTCAACATGGGCTTACAAAGGGAAAATCTTGTCTAACAAATCTGCTGACGTTTTTAAGGAAAGTCTTCGAGGTAGTAGATAATGACAAAAATTACGATGTTATTTACTTAGACTTTAGCAAAGTGTTTGACAGAGGCTTCTGAGAAAAGTTAAGGCTCATGGTATTGAGGGGAAAGAACACAGAGGGTCAGCGTAGATGATGTTAAATCTCAGTGGGGCTGTGTAACCAGTGGGGTTTCCCAGGGGTCAGTACTGGGCCCACTCTTGTTCATAATCTATATAAACGATCTAGATACTGGGATCAGCAGTGACATAAGCAAGTTTGCGAATGACGCCAAAATAGGGCGGCAGATTAATTCATGGCAGGTTGCAAATGCAATGCAGGAGGATTTAAATAAACTGCAGGGGTGGTCAGAATAATGGCAAATGAAATTCAACACCAGCAAGTGCAGCGTACTGAATATTGGAAGAACACATATTGTCAATGTACACAGCCTTAACAACATCAGCCTAGATATGTCGACTTGTGAAAGAGACTTATGGGTACTTGTAAGCCCGGACCTACGGCCTAGAAAACAGTGCGTTAATGTTCGAAATAAGGCAAACAGAGTATTAGGTTTTATATCTAGAAGTGTAAGTAATAAGAGTGCAGAGGTCTTATTGCAACTATATCTTGGGCTAGTCAGGCCGCACCTCGAATATGCTGTTCAGTTTTGGTTGCCCTTATTTTCGAATGGATATCAATTCACTGGAGTCGGTGCAGCGATGAATAACGAAAATTATTCCGGGACATAGAAACCTTCCATATCAAGATAGATTAAAGAAACTAAACTTGCATTCCCTAGAAAGACGAAGAGTTCGTTGAGATGTGATAGAAGTATTTAAGTGGGTGAAACGAATCAATAAAGGAGATATAGATAAAGTTCTTATAATATCCGAGCAGGATAGAACTAGTAGCAACGGATTTAATTTGGATAAGTTTAGGTTTAGGAGAGAGATAGGAAGACGAGTGGCAAAAGCTTAGCAACTTAGCAGCTTAGCAACTTTGTAGTAAGTGCTGGAATGCTGGAAAGTTTTAAAAGGAGGCTAGATAAATTCATGGATGACAGAGAGTGGTAATAACTCGCGACAGAAGCTGCCATGCACAGGCCAACTGGCCGATTGCAGACTCCTTATTTTCTTATGTTCTTATGTTCTTATGTAACTGCTGGAGCTTGCACTGGAGTGGTGGCGGTGTTGATGTGCATGACTATGGTTTTAGTGTGATTGATGGTGACCTTGTTCTCCGTAGTCAATGCCTGTAGCCTGTCCACGGTGCCTTGTAGCGATGAGTAGTCCGGTGAGGTGTTGTCCACTGTAACCCTCACACTGCAGTCATTCACGTACTTCCACCTGTGAGGAGTGTCCGATAGAGCGTCGTTAATCAGGATTAGGAAGCACAGTGGTCCCATCTTGGTCCCCTGGAGAACACCACAGGTGAGGTGTTGGAATGTGGTAGACAGAACCCTGGTACCTCACTGCCTGACGACGCTCACTCAGGAAATCAGTGAACCATGAGACCAGGTTGGTGGGCGGCTTTAGTGCAATGGCCTTGTTGATAACAGTGCAGTGATCACAAGGTCAAAAGCCTTCCTGAACTCAACAAGGGCAACGGCCAGTGATGTCTTTCGTTTCTACAGGTTTTTGTGCAGAAAATCCAGGAAACTAACTAGGCAGTTTGATGTGGATCAATTGACTGATAAATACTAGTAAATCCCCATTCAAAAACAAAGTTTTCACAGAGTAGACTGGGTATCGGGTGATGGCAACTGGCCTTTCTCACTAGGGGAGTGTGGGGTGGGGACCTTGGTGATAGGGGTGACAAATGCGGTTTTCTGTATGTTATATATCTAAGCTTCTGTGCCAAGTAGCATCTATGTATGTAATTACGTGGAAACAATGCACGTGTTATGTGGCAACATCGCCCCGAGGCTGCCATATGGCAATGCAGCCTCAGTCTGACTCCGTGGGTCGTGCATGGCACTTCATACGCACACTGCTAACTACTTGTATCTCTCCTATCCGTTAATAAATGGACTTCAGTGTTACCCGGTGTTTCCCTACCCATCACTGCCTTCTTCAGGGAACACTTGGAACCTTCATTTTCCATTCATTAGTGCATTTGCTTTCTCTGACGGATGCATTAATAATGGAACAGAGGGGGGTGACAAGTTCGACTGCAAACTCCTTGTAGAGCGTTTGGATTTAAATTTCTGGAGTTTGTTGGCAATTTCAATGGTTGAACAGTGGGAGGGGGAGAGGGAGAAGGTAAGTAGGACGGGAGGAAAGTGAGGTCAAGGCTGGATAGGATATGACATATGGTAATATGAGATATAAAAAGAAATGTGGAAGACTGATGGTTGAGACCTTAGAGTACCACTGACCGTTGCCAACCTCCTTGAGGCCGTGCACTTTCCTGGGATAATAAGACTTCTTGGCTGACTTGGTGTCCCTGATGACTTACTTACATAGACTTCTGTACAGGCGGTTGTTGGTGTAGTATGCCTTGTTGCGCTGCTCAATTAGTCCTTTGATACGGGGTGTAATCCCTGGGACATCATCGGGGTGGATCCTCAGTGTCTTGGCTGGAAAGAAGTGGTGGTAGGTTTTGGTGATAGTGTCCAGGTAATTATCCCACTTGTTCTGCTCATCGTCTACCATGATCACTTCAATCTAAGGATACCGGGTCACCCATTGTCCGAAAAGCCGCATGGCAGAGTCAGGGGTAGGTCGGTAAGTCCTGGTGACAACTGGCGGTCGTGAGATGGTTGGTGTAGGGGACCAGGGTGAAGGTGGAGGTGTTGGGTGATAATGCTGATGTCTAACTCATTAAAGTCACCGAATATCACTAGCTTTTCACATGTAAATCTGGATCTCAGGGAGTCAGCAGTGTCTGTTATATGAGTAACCAGTACATTGGCGGGAGGTGATCGGGGGGGTGTGATAAGCCACACAAACAATGAGGAAGGCAAGCTGGCTGGGGTGGGAGGTGGGAGTGACCTTAACCCATAAAGCTTCTACATCCTCAGGTACATTAACACCTAGGTGTGATGGTTTAAGGTTACTGTAATAGTACGGCACTACACCACCTCTCCCATCCTTTTTAAGGTGGTGAAATAACTCATTGTTTTCTATGGCACAGCTCTCAGGAACAATTTGCCACGCCACGGTAATCGCCACAATACCTGCACCAACTGACTTCACTGTAACACTGACCTCCTCCACCTTGTTGCATAAAGATGTAACATTGGACAGCAATAGGGATGGTAGGCTGTACTATTAGTCGCGGCATTTCATAGCGAGCACGCTGTCTTTCTGGCACTGGCTGGACTTTCTTATGCTTGCTCTGCATGATGATAGGGATTCGTCTGGGAATACGGCGACCCCGTCTGCAGCCGCGGTTGTGAAGGATTCTCAACGCCTTTAGTAGAGTGATGGTGTGGGGTGGAGGATAGCCAGCACCAGACTTCAGCCGGAACAGGTCGATGCGACGGTATCGTGACACTGGAACGCACAAATTCACAAGTCTAGTACTCACAGTCACTGACACCTTGAAAACACGCACTGTCTTTCCGTAAAAGTACTGAATTGCCTTAAATTAGCTATAGGTCGACGTGATGACCTTGGCTGCCTCGGAGCGCCAGGGGACACGTTCTCACTCAGTAAGGTCGCCACACTGTGTGTGTGTGTATGTGTGTGTGGCAACCTGTGGTCTGATGGTTAGCATGCTCGCCTCGCAAGCGAACGGACCCGGGCCCGTTTCCCGGGCAGGGTGAAACTATGGGTAAGTTTCTTTATGCCATTTCCCTCTGTCTACCCAACAGTAATTGGGAATCTGGATGTTAATTGATTTGAGGATCGTTTTCCTGGGTAAAGGTTAACCAGTGCAGTTGGCCAGTTGGCCGTTGTTCTTGTACTATTCTTTGACACTGAGTCATGCAACTCGTTAGCTTTGGGTGCGGTTGTTGTGTTGGTGACAGCATCTACACCTTCAACAAATTCACGCCTAGGTGGCCCTTGGGCCGTCCATCCTCGTTGCACCATTATTGATTGTGTGTGTGTGTGAGTGTGTGTGTGTTTGTTTGTGTGTGTCACAAGTCATGGTCAACCGCACCTAGTTCGTTCTCCCTAATACAACAAGTCAAAGCAATAAATAATTATGCAACCTATTATGGTCGCAGCATGGAATGTCAGGACCCTTCTGGATACTGGCACAAATGAGCGTCCTGAAAAAAGAACCGCCCTTCTGCCAAAAGATCTGTCTTGGTATAACATCGACATAGCAGTCATTGGTGAGTTCCGGCTCTCAGACGAAGGTAGACTCACTGAACGGGGGTCCGGCAATACCTTCTCATGACGTCCTGAGTCCTTTATCAGCGCATACACCCAACACTGAGGATGACACCAAGGAGGCTTTTTAAGCCGACCTCGACAGAGTGCTAACCTCTATCCACAGAGAAGATAGGGTTTGTGTTCCTAGGCGACTTTAATACCAGAGTTGGCGTAGCTGCTGACATAGGGAACCATTGGGAACCATAGGAGGAAACGGAGTGAGCAAGTGTAATCCCAACGACTTGCTCCTCCTCAGCAAGTGTGCTGAACACAACTTCACTACCACCAACACCTTTTTTAGGCAGGCAGACAAGTTCAATGGTTCTTGGCAACACCCACAATTCAAACATTGGCATCTCATTGACTACATCAATGTCAGAGAAATAGATCGCCGAGATGTCCTCATCACTAGAGCCATGCGAGGCTCAGACCACTGTGACGTAGATCATCGGCTCGTCACAGCAAAACCCTCCTTTCACGTCGCCTCAAAAGGGCGTAAGCAACAAGCCTCCAGAAGCAATTTCAACACCAAAGTGACTGGAGGATTAAGCGATGGAAACTGCCTTCAGAGAGCTGCTCGACGATGGGCTGCTAAGCAACCCAACAACAAACAAACTGAATCCGAATTCCGAATGAGGTACCCTCAAAGCTGTCATCACAAAAACCTGCAGAGAGAACCTTGGCCAGATTGAAAGAAAACACCAGGATTGGTTTGATGAAAATAGCCAGGAAATCAACCTACTCTTCTCTGATAAATATGCTGCCTTCACTTACTGGCAGAAAAACCCTCAGTCTCGGCCCAAAGCTGATACTTTCCGCCAAAAGAGAGCAATGGACGAATGGTGGACTTAAAAAGCTTGTGAAAGGCAACAAATTATGGATCAACACCTGATGCCTGAATTTTTCAATTCCACTAAAGCAATCTATGACCCAACTATGCATGGCTCGGCCCCCTTCCGCTCGGCTGGGCCCCCCTCCGCTCATCCGATGGTAACTCCCAAATTAAAGACGGAGAAATCATCCATCAGCACTCGTGATAAAGTAGCTACTGCTATCAAATAGATGAAAAATAACAAAGCCCCAGGGCCTGATGGAATCCCAACAGAGAATAGGAGGAAAACCACCCAGATCATAAGAACATGTGAGGTCAGACTGTGTAGTCCTGGCTCCACACTATACCCCGGCAAAATAGTTTTATGTAGATGGAATTTAACTTATTGTGAAGATTGCATGACTAATTCAGACAAAAAAAAATGGGTAGACACTTCATTTCAAGGGTTTTAATTCAGCAGCCGCCATTTTCCAAAATGGCCGATGTTTTTGCTGTATATGCGTCATTGTGGTGACGAAATATATTTTGGGAGTCACGAAACTTAAATATAACCTTATCTTTTTTATTTAACCACCAGTGTAGGTATTACAGAAATGGTAAATATATGTATTACAAAATACAAACATTATCAACTAAATTTGGACTCTCATATCGTAATCACACATGACGTTAATGAAACTGACACTAATACAAGTCCTGTATTTCTTAGGCCAGAATATAATAAACAGCATACAGCGTAATTATGGTCAAAATATTAGTTTTAGTACCTAATTTCATTACAAGCGAAGTTTGCTTCCTTAAAAAGAAATCATTATAAACTGTAAACAGTATTTTCTTCAAGGTAGATTTTCAAGCAATATTTCCATATTTTCTTTTGCACTTGTACAATATTGAACACAACACCAGCAACGAAATTGGACACTGACAATAAAATCACACAGAACATGAATTAAACTAACTAATACTGCAATCATATTCTTTAGTTCAGTACGTAATAAACAATATGTGTGGTATGCTCAAAATATTAGATTTTTACTGGTATATTTTTCCGTGAAGAATGACTTTTGCTTAATGTGTTAACACGGTACTTTGTTTAAGGTAGCATTTCAAGCAACATTTCCACATTTTCTTAAGCATTTGCAAAATATAGAACATAACACTCCTGAACGTCGTCATTTGCATCTCATGGTTTGACAAATGTCACATCCACATATTCACACAATATATGTTTGCAACATTTAGATGGTAGTAATAGTCAATCTATTTCCTTCCATCCGTAGTCCAAGGGTTTAAGTTTGATATTGTTATTTAAGAGAGTAAGAACATTTCTGATGACAAAGAATGAAGTCGAATATGTCCTACGATTGAGCTGGACACTGGTGAGAGCTCACCAAGAGATTTATTTTGCATCCTGTAGTGAAAAAATCGCAGCTTATTGAAAGTGTAACTTTTGCATTTAATGACCAAACTCTAACAAGATACTTTTCAGCATCATCGATATCTTGCTGCTGAAGGGTTCCTGTCTCTACAAAATCAGTAAGGAAGTTTGCAGGTTCTACTTTCAATGCTGCATGTTTAGTCCCAATTTTGCTTAAAGCATAATCATCTGACAGTGTGTGAACCTTCACCAAGACATTGTAGAGGGCTGGCCCAATGATTTTTTAGTAGAATGTGCAGTGGAATTAATCGACATTTGTTTCCAGTACCATATTGAATCCACAGCTCTTTTAAGCATTTAGCTTTGAAGATAGATGTATATCATAGCATTAGAATTACAACATTTGTATCATTTGATAAAATAACAGCCCTTTTAGTACCCTGCTCAAAGGCTCAGTTAACATGGGGTACTAGCCTCTGGTCAGATTCCTCAATTGTGCTTGTGAGCTGTTTAATTACTCTTTACTCATTATTTGAGTGTAGCTCTGCAGGACTTACATTCTCATTAACAACCATTCTACTTTCTATCACTTGAATATTTAATTGAACAGATTGTAAAGATGCAAATTTGTGGGCAAGTAGCTGTAAGTTGACTTTATTTGAAGATGATATCCAGAATGTGTCCATCTGGAACCGGAGTAGGTATGTTGAAATCAATGCGTGTTAATTCGACACTTCCAGTGTAGGAAGCTCTGTGAACCCATTCATATTCTTTAACAGAAAATACCATGCAGCTATCAAAGACTACATGCAACTCATGCATATTACAAACCCCTCGGCCATTATGTAGATCATTTGAAATTACTTTGCCAAAAGTCCCTTGAGATTTCTTATGCTGCATTCGAATTGTTACATGAGATCAATTAATACTGTTGTTTACAACTGTGAAACTGACTCAAATACTCATTTTTCCGCAGTGAGTTTTGTCTCAAGTTCAGCAATAAGTGAATGCTTAGCTGATTTTATTGCAGCATTGCCGTTGAACAATCGATTTACGGGCAGAAAAATCATTAACATCCATGACTTTTTGTGCATAGTCAATATGCTTTGGGGTTGTGACTTTAGTAGCTGTCACTGTTTTAGCTTTACATAGTGTAGGTAATCAAAGCATGGTAATTTCATTTTTAAATCTTTCAGAGAGCTTTTCTTCTTCAACTTGAATCTCCCCTCATGATTTTTTTTTTTTTGTGTGTGTGTGCACCTGCTCCATGCTCATGGACATTTAAGTGGCTGACTTTTACAGGTTCGTTTACAGACTGCGTTGTAATAACATTGTGCCGAGGGACATGTTCAATAACTAGGTAAGGATTTCCCTCCCCTCTGTGAACTGGGGATGTTTTGTAACATTAGAACTGAGCTGAGTTTCTTTCCTTTGAGTCCTGCCAGTTCGTGTTGAGATGTCTTCCGGTGATCCATCATTTTCGCATTAGTGATATCTCGAAACACAGTGTTGATAGTAAGAACTTCATGATAAGCAAATTCCCATTCAGCCACATGCTCACTCTTTCTTGTTTGACCAATGATATCTTTTGAACTTTTTTGAGACCTTTGTATTGACTGTTCCAGCATCATGTCAGGGCCAACAGCACTGAATTCCTCTTCTCGGTTTCGTACAACAAACTGGCCTTGGATGAATTTCTGATAAAGGAAAGGATTTTCAACTTGGAATACCTTTATTCTCTCAATATATCACGAATCGCACCTCAAGTAGTTAACACAGTCAAATCCTCGGAATATGCTTATCAGTGACTCAATAGTTTACACATGAAGTTCCCAATTTCCTTCGCGGTCAAATGATATGAAATATTTTTTTTAGAAGACGTACAGTACTAGCAGTAAAAATAATGAATAAATGTAAAAGTGATCGGTGACAGGTTACTTAGTTCCCCGTAGCCTAATTTAATGGTTGGTCTTTGTTGTTTCGTATTATATTATACTACGTACTATCGTAAACAAACAGCCTTGAGTTGCCAGCTGTCTCCAGCAGTGTTCGAAGAATCTTGAACGAAATTGTACATGGCCTTCATTGACATTTCAACTCAGCCAACAGGTAAGCCCTTTGGCGAACCCTCAGTCATTTTGGCTGCCCACCAAATTTCATCTCTATTGTGAGGCAACTCCACGATGGCTTGAACAGCAGTGTCCTGCTTAATGGCATCCAGTTCTAGTTCTTCCCCATCCAAACAGGTATAAAACAAGGATGTGTACTGACACCAACTCTCTTTTCCATTTTCTCGGCTACCTTCCTTACTGATGCCAGTGCCAATATAGCCGGTTGGGTGGACATCCATTACCGCATGAAGGGACTTTTCAACATCAGACGACTCCAGGCAGGAACAATGGTGTCGGCCGCTTCCATCACTGAACTTCAGTATGCAGACGACTTCACCTTCGTTGCTCACACTGAACGCGACTTACAGGTGATCCTGAACACCTACGCAGATACGTATGTACACTTCGGCCTGAGGTGAATGTACGTAAGACTCAAATTCTCTTACAGCCTGCCCTAGGTTCACCCACACCTTCACCATCCATACAGCTTAACGGTACTTCCCTCTCCAATGTTAAGCACTTCCAGTACTTTTGCTAACCACCTGTCCATCACGGCGGACATTGATGAAATTCAACATCGGATCAAATGTGCCTTCCAAGCCTTTGACAGACTCCATACCCGTCTCTTCTTTTCTAAGGAGCTGAAAGTATCTACAAATTTGCAAGTATATCGATCAGTGGTCCTCCCTACCTAGTTGTATGGCAGCGAGACATGGGTCACATACTGGGGGCACCTGAAGGCAATTAAGAACTATCACCAATGAAGTCCATGTTCAATCCTCTGAGTTCTCTGATGACAAAAGAACAAATGCCACATGGACGTCAGTAGACTGCCAAAGCAGCTATTCTACTGTCTCAAGACAGACCTGAAAAAGTGCCCTATTGACCCCATCACCTGGGAGACGATCACTCCACACCGTAACGCTTGGAGGAGCACCAGACGAGAAAGTCTTAATAATTTTGAGTTAGCCCGATTGCATACCTAGGCAGACAAGCGCCATCGCCAGAAAGACGCTGCTGCCGCCCCTCCCACACTAGATGTAGCCCTCCACACGTGCAACATTTAAGGACGACTCTCTCGATCCCATATCGGCCTCTCAAGTCACTTCAGAGTTCACCAACGAAGGTGACATCCTTATTAACTTATATCATTATATCATAGCTTGATAATCGTCATGCTCGATTCCGAGTGACATCAAACTAGTAGTAGAAGTAGTAGTTATGTTACAGTCGACTGTCCTTCTCTCTCCTTAGGTCGGCTTTGCTCAGCCTCAGGGGAACGAGAGCATCGGCCCCAAAGCCGACAACAGTTGCAG